TCATCCACATGGGAGGGGCCATGGGGGCCCTGAGAGTGAAGACCATGGGGTCCATTCGTAGGACCAGAAGATGGCGGCATGGCTGGGTTACCTTGCTGGAAGTGGAAGGGCAGCTGATGCTGCTGGGGAATATTGGTGTTGTGGGAGGCGGACCGACCCTGAGGCGATACTGTCGGCACGCCAACAGGCTGTTTGAACATCTGATCGTACGTCTTATCTTCGCTGCCATCCGCGATGTCCCAAGTTGGCAAAGTCTTGTAGGGTGGTGGAATACCTCCATTCAACACAATCAACCTTTCAGTAGTCTCTGCGTTCTCCTTCTTCATGCGCTTGATGGGATTGAACTGATCACTGATCGAGGGTCGTTCAGAGACAGGCAGTGGCTTCCTTGGGCCGAAGAACGCAGTTGGCGTTGTGGCGCGTGACACAGAGCGGTTGCGAGAGAAAGACCGTGGGCTTGCAGCAGCGCCCGAGGAACCGGGCGTAAAAGTGCTCGCTGCGGGGTTTGGCTTGAACTCCATAGCTTTGACATTGAACTTGGTTGCCGCGGAAGACCCGGCCTGTGACTTGACAGGGCTGGTGATTCTCTGCTGGTCGCTGGCAGGACCAGTGGGTGTTCCACGAGCATCTTGAATGGGAAGAGGAGTGGGGACAGGCCCCATTCCCGCGCCCTTTCGTTGCTGCAGATTGTCCGCTAGACGATGGCTGAGCATGCCAACACCAGGACGTCCGGGCGGAACTACTTGCTGAGGGAATCTCCCACCAGCAAGAGGCCCAGTGGGCGGATAACCCTGACGGGTGCGGTTGTAGTTTTGACGATCAGCTGGTGCAGATGGGGGTACAGATCCACTAGGTCCGGCACGAACAGGTAGCTGTTCTGTGGGAGGTGTAGTGACCTTCGGTATCGCCTTATCATCCCCCTGTTGCAGCCCTCGTTGCATGATTGCTTCCTGCTTTTGCCGGTCCTTGGCCAGGATGGGAACAAGGTCTTTCGGCACCGGAGTCGAAAGTTTGAAACTCTTGGAAAACTTCAGCAGCTCGTTGAGTTTCATGGTTCGGTCATATGAGGCTTGGTTGCGACGGCGCTCCTGCATCTTCATTTTCTCACTATTCGCGAACTGTCGGAAATGATCCAGCACCTCTACCTCCACGTTTGCAGTCGCATTTTCAGGTGCAGGCCGCTTTCCAGCTGATACTGCGGATACAGTAGGTACTGCGGGAATGACGCCCTTGCCCGAGGTACTCTTTCGCTCGATATCTGCTGTGGGCTGCAGCGATGCGACCGGCTCAGCTTGCTGGTGTGAAGGTACAACTCCCTTGGCCACGGCCGGAGATGGGATGGGGATAGGGGAAGCAACAGGCTGTTTGGTGGGTGCAGTGGGCGTCGCAGCAGGCTGGGGAGCTGCCTGGCGGCGTCCGGGAGGCATGTACTTGTTTGGCTGACCGGAAAGCAGGGGAGGGAAGGTTTTGTCTTCGCGTCGAACACCACTGTACTTGTCTTCTTCGTCTTGGTCGCCAGTATCCGGTGCTACAAGGCCACGCTCCTCGCGCATGTGGGAGTTGTCCACATCTTGTCCCTCGATCTCACGAGCGATCCGGGCTGCCTCCGCTTGCTTCTGTTTGTAATTGGGATCCGAACGGTCGAGGCGAGTGGTGTAGATGTTCTCATCGTAGTTGGTCTTGGTGCCGAAAAGACGCTCGTTTGCCTCGAACTGGTCCCATCCCGCAGAAGTGTTACTTGTTTCGAGTGACATATCAACGTCAGTCTCGGCAGGTTCCCAGCGCTGCAGGGTCCGCTCTCGCATGGCTAAGTTTCCAGAGATATCACTGTCAGTTCTGAAACCCTGGGAAGCACCTGTGGACTAGGTTAGTATATGCACAGACTAATCCGATTAAAAAAAGCAACCCGTACCATTTGGTTCCTTGGCTGAAACTTCGGCTGTGGTAACGTTTGGAACGGCAATGTCGGCGATATCCTTGATATCGAATGACATGATGTGCTCGGGCGCGGAGCCTATGTACGGAGTTGCGACATCGCTGACGCCGTTTGCCCGGGGTTGGGCCTCTTGCGAGGTTCGCTGGACCATCTTGAGCAGGAACGAAAGTTCGGTAGGCTCCATGGTCGACGAAGAGAAGATACCGGTAAACTTGTCTCCGGATTTGGTGGTAATGGTGGTGTGTAGACCCTAGGTAGCAGGTTAGAATTGATCAACGGGTATGGTGGCGCGACTAGGCTTACAATGAAGCTGGCGAATAAGAAGACCAGGCGGTCATGGGCATGGTTATCAGGAGTGTTTGACTCCTTCTGGTTGGGTCTCGGGGACCCAGACTGTTTCTGGTGGGCCATGTTGCCGTTCGATGGAGTGTATGAGGATCGTTGAGTGATGGGGTTGGTCCCTTGGGTCCAGGCCTTGTGGGAGTTTGTGCGCCTATGCAGTAGAACATGCTTGCGTTAGTGGCCACTGGTCACGAAGCAGAGAACGACAAAACAATTCTGCCATCGAATCCGACAGCTTCAATTGGCTCTTGCTGGCGCACAACTCGAAGCAAGCATGCAACAGAGCTCACCAGCTCAATCGCCAGCCGGACAAGGGAAGGGTAGGATAATAACAAAGGGGAGTTTCCCAAGTCCGAGAGGATATGGAATTACACGAGGATTTGATTTGACATTTGTGTAGAAGGAAGGGCTGATCATACCGTTGTCCGCCATCGACGGGGCTGCCTGACTGTCGTCGGTTGTCAGACCCCTTCGTGCTGTTACTGGATCTCAGGGTAGATCGACCGGTGCTAGGGGCACCCGCGCTGGCATTGCCAGACGCGTGATTAGCCGGCACAGAGTTAAGAGCGGAGGCCATTGATTGACTTTGATGTCAGTCAGGGCAAGCTTGCGTCGTGGAACTTCGCTCGGCGGAAAGCCGCTAGGATGAGGCACGATGCCACAACACACCGCCTGCACAAATAGGACTGGGGGGAAAGTGAGGGGGAAGGATAAGCAACCACCACACTGCGGAGATACCGGAATGCCAATGGCAGGAGGATGAAAAAAGGGGAATGGAAGGGAAAGGAAAGAAAGACAGAGAAATAGAAGAAAGAGAAATGGGCTTGTTGCAAGTTGATAGGGGAAGAAAGGGATTCTGGAGAGAAGTCACGCGTATGGTATTGTATTTGTGTGTTACACCCTTTTTATTTTTATTTTTATTTTTCCCTGGCTTGGTGACTTCATGTCCCAATGGATATTGTCAAATGGACAATCGGTATTGTTATTCTAAGTATTCTGTGCTATTGGGCCTCCAACTAGGATCGGCCAATTGCCAATGTTACTGACAGAGTACGGGTCAGGCTGAGGTAGCTCCCATGTCCATAGAGTTTAAAGGTAGAAAGATGGCATTGTGCGATCTAGGGTCAGAACCCATGAATCCATTAAGATTTATTTACTTCCGATGCATAAAGCAGCTATGGAGTAGTGGAAGTACCAAATGTACTGATGTATGCATCATCTTACGCGATCAACTGCATTGTTGGTCAATTACGTCCCGAGGTCTTGTGTCATAGTTGAAATAACAACACATACATACTCCGTACATATGTCCATACTAGGTATTATGCAACTTCGTATCTTGCTTCAGTTACACTTCCTAGTAGAGTAACTATATATACACATATACCATCCGTCGACTAGCTCCAGATGTCATACCTGAGGTCATAGGTCCAGAGTCACGATACATATTTGGTTCCATGGGAACTTCCACTGTCGGGTGGGGCTTTCCTGTCTTAGCTGCCATTTTATAACGGTCAGAGCTAGGCCCGCTACCTAGTTAGGTCGAATATATATCGTACCGCTACCGCAAATTAAGATTATTATATTTCGCCATGTGCCTAGTTAGTTAACTAACTAACTAGTTAGGTGTTGAATTTATCTTATGCATGTAATCAACTGGGGCTCTAGTTACATACCTAGGTAGGTACCTGCATACAATATAGGGTTGCGGCCTCCAGTTTATTCTCACCATTCGGAGCCAACATCGTTAGCGTCTGAAGTAGTAGTTCCTGTCTCGGATCACCGGGATAGTGGAAGCCGCACAGCTTAGATCGCTGATCTATATTTGTTAAAGTTGTTTGAAGAAAACTCATCAAGTGGCTATGGCCCAATGTCTGTTCGTGCCTCCGTTGGATTCGAACGTTGATTAGCCTCTTTGGACTTGGTAAATCAGGTAAACACCTATCTTCAGGAATGATCATTTTCCCCTTAGGTTCCAGTCTTCAGTTCTAACCTAGTTATTGTCGAAGTCTACTTTACTTCTGTGGCTGGGATGGAGTTAGGCGTTAAGTTGGTTGGGCTGCCATATTAGGGTTAGCAGGTACCATACTTGGTTTGATATTCATGCTCCTATGGAAAAGAAAGCAGTGAGTCCTACACAGGAGATCTAAATAATGATGTAGGAATACGATCAAATGACTTGGCCCATCATCCTACAACACAAATAAGTGTCTCCGTACAACATGCAGGAATATAAATAGAGCCAGAGTGGAGCTGAAGGACAAAGGCAAGGGTCTTATCAATCGGGTACTTATCAGTGGATGCGGTGAGGGATGATGTTTTGTTGTATTTGTAGATGTTCGATGTATTTTGATTCTTAAAATGCAGGTAGCATAAGCATGTGATTTGATGGCATCAAATTGGAGGCCAATTCGCAATTGTCAAGGATCAATAGCACGAGTCCATATATGTACTAGCTACATAAAACTACCTACTGTGGCCTGAATAGGCGGGTAACGCGTTGTCCGGTCCCTTGTACATCATTACAGGGCTATACAGTAATATATGGTATTTATGGTATTGGGGGGTTGAACCGTTACTGATCATCGGTTCGCGTGCGGTAAGGCCCCAAGTTGACAGGAGGCTGGGCATCATCTTCACACATGCTTGGCACTCTCACTCGCTTCTGCCCTATTTCTCACTTTCTATTCTCACTCCCTCGGAAATTTGGCCTATCATACTCATGCAGTCCTCAGACGTGTCAAGAGCCCAGTTCCCTTATCCCGAACAGTTGGTTCAACAAGCATCCCCCGAGCGACCCTCGGGGTCTGGCAGTGCCGACACATCCATGGCTTCCCAGCAGTCCGGCCGCAGTTCCTCCGCCTCGGCGCGATCTCAGTCTAGCAAGACTCAGGTATGACTATGGCGGCCTGTTAATTGCCTACAGTACGGTGGCTAATGAACTGGTGTTTCCCCCCACCGCACAGCCCGATAAGCAAATATCCCAAATCGAAAAGAGCGTGACGCACCTCTTGGTTGCGACAAAACAACTCCTCGAAACCTTAACCCAATGGTCTCGAAAGCAAGCATCGGAGAACGACGTGTCAGATGTATACGTTCGATTGGGCTATGAATTTAATTTGGCCTGTCGCGCCTTCAGTGCCATCGGAGTCGACACTTCAGACCTCGGTCCCGTACCAGACCTGCTGCGCACCATACTTGAAGACACTCTTAGTCAAGATGCATCTTCCCAGAGCCTCGATAGATACCTTCCCAGAATTCGAGATATAATCATCAACTTGTTAAAAGGGCTGAAGAAGAAGCAAGCTCGCTTAAGGTCCCGGCACCAGCGCGAAGATGGCCGCTCCGCACCAGGACGGCAAGCCAGTGCAGGAAGCATCGCTAGTGGGCAGCCCATAGGTCAACTGTATGATGAAGCTGCAGCATCCACCATGCCGTCAACATCCCAGTCGTCTCCCAGACGATCAAACAGACGGTATGGCAGCGGATCGCTGGAGGATCCACCGTCCATTGCTCGAACATCCTCGGCACCTTCGATAACCGAACCGCGGACGACGAACTACGCCGAAAGAGAACTATCGCGACGAGAGGCCCAGCAAATGCTGTCTCAACCCACGCCCTTCGATAATGATACAACCCCTCGAGCCAACACATCGAACACCACTGCACCTTCATATATTACACCCACCGGGTTTTCTGCGCCTCCACCTCCACCCCCGCCGAAGGAGGATGACGCATTGGGGGCTTTGCAGAGAAGTGGAGAGCTTGAGCGACGTGCCTCGCGTCGATTCTCCGCTTATCAGATCCAGAAACATTTAGGTACATCTACAAATGGTGTTCCTGTCCTGCCTACTCAGAACTCTCCTATTCCCAATCGCGGTCGTGATGTCCGCGAATCCTTGAACGCAGTCCGTCTGCGAGGTTCATTTACTCATACACGACAACGATCCAACAATCGTTTACAGGAAGTCGCTAAGGTTGCGCAAGCTCCTCCACCCGCAAATATTCCGAATGTCGTGGAAGAAGAACGCACTCCTCCACCTGCGCCTCCATTTGAGCCACAAGAGATCGACAACACACCACTCGAGGTGCCAAATGAACCGGATGCTCATAAGGTGAAAGATGATACTGTGGAATCTACCATTGTTCCTCCTTCGATTCTCCCCCTACCCCAGGAGAAGCCAACCTTGGAAGAGGCTTTTGAGTCCGCAAAACCAGCACCGCAAACCCCGAAGGAGGACACCTTTGAACTGTCCGAGATCGCAACACCGTTATCAGCTATTCAATTTGCTACTGAGCAACCTTCGCCGGGCAAAGAGCTGACGCTGTTCCTACAATATAAAAGCAAAATTAAGAAGTATGTGCTCCCTGATGGCATTGCAGAGCTCACCATTGGGCGTCTGCAGCTTGCTTTTATTGAAAAATTTGCCTGGAATACCCACGACAATGGCGTTGATTTGCCAGAAATTTATATCCAAGACCCAATTTCAGGCATCCGACATGAACTAGAAGATCTTACCGATGTCAAAGATCGGTCTGTGTTAGTGCTTAATGTTGACAATCTCGATGAGGTAAAGAAACATTTCGACGACGGCCTCGGAAGCGTACGCCTCCTGGTCGAAGGTGTTAAAGAGACGCTTGCTGGCCAAGGAAATATCATCCAGCGGGTTTCAGATCGTCAGCTTGAAGCAGCCAAAGAAATTGCTCGTTTGTCTGCTGCTCCACCAGCAACCTCTAGCCTGGCTGCCGTTGGAGGGAATTCCAAGGCATCGATTGTGGGTAGCGGAACTCAAATCGCCGAGCTTCAGAGCTTGCGTCGTGATTTGGCTGTCCTGCGTCAGACCTACTCTAACTTTACATCCGATATTACCGGTTCTATGAGCGCAGTCCGTGCCAAGGCAAGCAAGGTCAAGACCGTTGCTAGTGACATTTCCACTCCCACTTATGAAGGTGATGCTGGGCGTGCTCGCGTCAACACTGGTAAGAAAGAACTTGCCGGTGAATCGGAGCGGCTGGTCGCTCGCGTCGATGACCTCCAAGATTTGGTTGAGGATCTTCGAAAGGATGTTGTGACCCGCGGTGTTCGTCCTCTTCCAAGACAATTGGAAGGTGTCGGCCGTGACATTAGCTTGGTGATGAAAGAAATCAAGAAAATGCAGGACTTCCTGGCTCGCGAGAAGCCCGTCTGGACCAAGATCTGGGAAAAGGAGCTACAACTGGTTTGCGAAGAACGAGACCAGCTTACCATGCAGGAAGATCTCGCCGCCGACTTGCAAGATGATCTCGAGAAGGCGACTCAGACCTTTGCCCTGGTGGAGCAAGCTACCAAGGAGCAGGTCTTGACAAATGCAACCGGTAGCACCGCTGTCCGCGCCCCATCCAGGAGTCTTGGAATTGACCCAACTGTTGATCCCATGAAAGCCAAGGATGGTGTCCTGGGTGAAGTTCGTGCTTTGCAACCAAACCACGAAAGCCGACTCGAGGCCATTGAGCGAGCGGAGAAAGCACGAAAGAAGGAACTTGAGACTCGGCGAATCGGTCTTTTCCAGAAGGAACTTGGTGCATTTGTCGACGAAGGCAAATTGAAGAAGAGCGGTGGCTTCGAGGAGACTGAGCGCCTTCGTACTGCAAAAGACGACCGCATCCGTAAAGAAGTTTGGGATCGACAGCAAGCCCGCAATGCCGAGATGGAGAAGGCAGAAGCAGAGGCCGCTGCTGTGCAGGCAGCTGAGCAGGCAGCTGAGCAAAACAACGAGGGCGGAGGCGATGACGACCAAGAAGAAGGTGGAAATGAGGCGAAACCGGAGGATGGAGATGAGGCAGAGGAGGCAGAAGAGCCCAAGTCTCCATCTTCTGACACGGACAAGCCACTCCCTACAGCGCCTGAGGAGGAAGACAAAGCTGACCCCGAACATCCCTCTACTTGATCCCGTATTGTACGCAACCTCGGTCTGATCATCCCCGACCCAGTGAGCTTTCATGTCGAATCATTTATTGCTAAGTGCAAGTGAAATTGGTTCCATACGTATTTGTTTTTGCTTTTGTTTTTGTTTGCTGCATTCGACATTGCATTGAGGCCTTAGTTTTGTTTCTTTCATTTCCGTTGATACCTTTTGGCGTGTTTCCTGTGCGAGAGCCTCCCATGTCATGTCATTTACTGACGATACCCTGCCATACTCTGTGGTGTGCTGCTAGCATTTAGTCTTTGATTTTGCAAATGATATGAGCACCTTTGAAGTCGGTGTTAAATAATTCTTATTTGGTTAGGTGGAAGTAGTCTGTCTCTTGATATCGTACCACGTCGACCAAGACAGAGAATAATCTTCAATGCCGAAATCAGCCAATAAAAAAGTTTCCACTGACTTGTTGTTGTACTCCACATCTTGACATGTCTGTTCTGCAAGCTAATGCGTAGCGGTGTGCATTCCCAGCCACCTTTATATGCAGCTTTATAGAAAGCCCAATGCGCCCTTAATTATTCCTAGTCCGACAAAGCCTCTTTCATTAAATCTGTCGAATTCAACTAAATTGAATCTTAAAGGAGAATATATATTCGCATCAACTCAACTCGAAGTTTCATTCCCAACCAAGCCATCCACTACTTTTGTTAGTGAAACAAACGCATATTTGAGACAACTATCGAACTGCAAGTTAGCCTTCAACCCGACTGATTTCACTGGTCTCAGCCTAAACAAACTCGACATCGATCCTGATCGCGATACCCAAGAGGCAGTATGCAGCTCCTCCACGCCCTCGCCGTGTTCTGCTCACTGCCACAGTTTGCAACACTGGTCTTAGCAGAAAATACAAATCCCTCTGCGGAGCGAGAATCCAAAGAAACTAACACGCGATCGCTGCCGGCAAAAATCGTCATACAGCGCAATGCCGCTATAGCATCCCAGCTCGCATCAGGACCAGCTCTCGGCGTGAAGAAAATGAGCGAGAACGAAGGCGAGAAATTCTTCCTCGACTACTGGAGTTTTGGAGAGGCCTCTTCGTCAAGTAACATATCTGAGCGACACTTCTCCGAGGAAGAAGGATTTTCACCAGCGCGCTTTGTGGCCCAATCATACCCATTCGGGCCATCTTACTCCCCGAGCACAGATGAATACAGTCAGTACCTTCCCCGAGAAAACAATAGCGCAAACAATTTGTTTGAAAAACGAGATTTCAAGTGCCCGACTGGGACATTGGGGTGCACATCCATCGGTCGATCCGATCGCTGCTGTGGGTCCGGGGAGACGTGCGAGATTGTTGCTGATACAGGGAACGGCGATGTGGGCTGCTGTCCTAGCTGGCAGACGTGCTCTGGGACTATTGGGTCGTGTGAGAGTGGGTATACGGCTTGTTCGCAGGCTTTGGGGGGTGGGTGTTGTATCCCGGGATATGATTGTGTTGAAGGAGGATGTAAGTGAATATTCCCAGATTGTTGATGGGAATTGGGAATATGAACCTTTTGCTGATTGGTTGAGTAGGCGCATACATCACTGTTATTACGGTGACTCTTCATTCGACCGTGATGTTGTCTACTGTGACCTATTCGACCAAGCCGGATAGTACTTCCACTTCAATTTCCACTTCAACCTCCACTTCGACTTCGACTTCGACTTCCTCGACAACCTCTTCCCAAAGCGGCACATCCACAACAGACGAAAGCTTGGCACCACCAGCACGGCCTACGAACCTGTCAACAGTAACCAGCGATGTCTGCCCGACTGGTTTCTATGCCTGCTCCGCTGTCTACCAAGGTGGCTGCTGCCGTACTGGACGAGACTGCGATACGACATCATGCCCGACCACATCTTCGACGACTATGACATCAGACGGTGTGACGATTGTAGCGCCCGTCGCGACAACAACGGAACGTTCTGGTGGGAACCTGTGCGCTCAGGGCTGGTTCCGTTGTGCCGACACCGTGGGTGGAGGATGCTGTCCCACGGGGTTCGCTTGTGGTTCTAGCTGTACTGCAACAGACACCGCATCTGCGACAACTGTCACCAAGGAACAGGCGACTGCGACTGCTGCTAGCGGAGATGGTGTAGTGCATCGGATTAGCAAAATGATGTTGGGGATGACGCTGGGGATGTGTGTAGGATTTTGGATGTTATAAAAAAGACAGGAGAAGACACGATGCACATGAATTTATGACAATAAAGCTGCAAACAGTTCGGAATGTGAATTTTATAGAAGCTCTCCCCACGGGGGTTTAGTAATCGGGCTAAACGTACAGGCGGAGGCTTACCGGCTGCTGCACTCGGACCCGATCACCGATTCTCGCCGACACCGGCAACCTCATCTCTTCTCACTTCTTCCTTCTCCAGCCCTCGTTCTTTAAGGTCTTGTGAGTAAATATGTCGTGATCTGATCGCAAAGCTGTGTTTTTCGATGACTTTTCGATCCCAATATTACCCAATTAAGGCCCCGTACTGACATCCCAGCTCAAGCCGCCATCATGTCTGAAACTCCCCAGAAGCCCCTCCCCTTCGTCTACCAGTTCGCCGCCGGTGCGGTGGCTGGTGTCTCAGAGGTATGTATCTTTTGCTTCTACTTTGAAAAACGATACCGACTTGATTCGTCATGTCGGGGGGGGGGGGGGGGGGGGGGGGGGGGGGGGGGGGGGGGGGGGGGGGGGGGGGGGGGGGGGGGGGGGGGGGGGGGGGGGGGGGGGGGGGGGGGGGGGGGTAG